TGATGTGAACTTGACAGAAGTTCCAACACGTATACTTAGTATTCACAAAAATTTCAGAGAATTTTAACACTTCCGTCCATTTTAAGCAATTTTCAAGGGTTTTTTTTACCGGTAATGACGAAATTGAACGGGACATAATTCATTCGAGTAGTCGTACTCGCTTTGCCGAATCATTGATTCGCATGCCATTTTAAATATGAATATTCTGTTGTAAAGGTTATAGAAGATATTCTTTTCATTCGTTTTCTGAAAACTATATAATAGCAATAGCTATTGACACTATATGACAAAAAACTCAACCGTGAACTTGTAGACTCAATTATCAGAAAACAAATTTGTAACTAACTGGGCACAATTATATGAATAACAATTATTTTAATAAATACCACAGTTACTAAATGCCACTCAAGGAAATTTGTTACTAAAATTCTGTCTCTGCTTATTTAAACATTTTCCCGCAATAATTTTGTTGTGTTTGCGATGGCCATAAAGATGCATAGTTGATTAAAACTTAAATTTATTATACATGAAATTCTTACAACAATGGCGGTCAGCCCGCCGACCTACTACAAAGTGAATGACGTCATGTGACCTCGTGCAAAGCAAGCAACCAGAAGCGCACATACTGTTTCGGCGTCACATACGTTCGAACCTAGACACAACATATTTTCCCCCCTTTTAGTTAAGCACATATATGATTAAACACTATCAATAAACACAAAGAAACCTCAGAGAAACTAAACAATTAACATCACTGTCTGTGAACGATTTAAAGTCCTATGAAATAGCATGCATTACTGTAAACACTCAATTAAACATAATCGTTCAAATAGGCAGGTCTATGCCGAATTCTTTGTGGATGATTACGAACTGGAACTACTCGATTACGATTTCGCCGATTGTTCTGATTTGGAATGTCAGGAGGAACATTGTCATTTGGTAGCACATTATCGAAATTATGGTAAAATGGATATTGATCATTTTCTTCGTGATCGTGGTTTTGGTAAGCGCGTATACATCTTCTTGCGTTCCAACAGCTACCATCACTTAAACGAAACGATGACTTTCCTAGGCGTTGAGTAATAGATTTCGGATTAGACAATGTTGACTGAAGTTTATGTCGTTGTACCGGTCTTTTTGTTCTGACGTAATCACCAACTTTCAGATTCGTTTCTCTGGCATTTCTCCTCTTGTCAACATAAGATTTCATCTTATC